GTCCAACCTCGTGGGTTTTCTCCGGGTCCTCCGGTTTACTCCCACTGCTAAAGACCCCTACGCGCAAGCGAATTATGTAAATAAAATTAAACCATATGTTAGACCCGAAATGACCTAGTTTGTGTCGAGTGGACGTTAAACCCCATTTCTCTCTCTCTCTCTCTCTCTCTCTCTCTCTCTCTGACAAGGAGTAGGGTCGCCTGTCCATCCTCCTGGGTTTTCTCCGGCTCCTCCGGTTTCCTCCCAATGCTAAAGGCCCTCCGCGCAAGCTAATTATTGAAACAAAATTGAACCATATTTTAGTCCCGAAATGACATAGTTTGCGTCGGGTGGGCGTTAATATCTCTCTCTCTCTCTCCCTCTCTCTCTCTCTCCCTCTCTCTCCCTCTCTCCCTCTCCCTCTCTCTCTCTCTCTCTCTCTCTCTCCCTCTCTCTCTCTCCCCCTCTCTCTCTCGTGTTACAGAAAGCAGACGACTATTTACTTGCAGGCTATGACATCGAAATGGACATGTTTATAAAAAAGGAAAATCTTTCGCAATTGAAATTTGGCATTGTGTTCATTTAAAACCCACCCTAATGAAAAAGAGCTATTATCATTTATCTGTACGTTTTCATTAGCCCGATAGGAGCTGAAAAGTAGGTCGTAAAACCCCAATTCATTTCATTTCACAACTGTCGTCCACAAATAAAACGAAGGATCCAAATCCTGTATAAATATTATTCTACTTTGTATACTACATCTATTAAATATTGAAGATATATTAAATATTAAAAAAATATATTGAAACATAAATCTATTACCGGATGTCCATTGTCGACACATTATTTCGTTTAAGTAAACAGCCAGATATTGGTAGTCATTTTGAATTGCTAGTTTTAGAACGCCATTGTTTTAGCCACTTAAGCTCAATTTAAAGAGGCATTTTTAGTTTGGCTGGCTATCGCCATTAACCAGTAAGACGACTATCTTCTAATTCATTTGTGTTGACCAACTTCGTGGGTTTTCTCCAGGTCCTCCGGTTTGCTCCCACTGCTAAAGACCCCTACGCGCAAGCGAATGATTGAAATAAAATTGAACTGTGTGTTAGTTCCAAAATGATCTAGTTTGTGTCGAGTGGACGGTAAACCCCATCTCTCTCTCTCTCTCATTTGTTTGACTATACAATTAGACAGGACATGTTCATAATTATTATACTGTGTGAGATTAAACCCAAATGATCACCTAGTCATATATATTTTACCCTATCATCGTCATAGCAGAGATGGTATTTCTAAGTAAGAACTAGGACAACAAATTCTGAAGATTGTTTGCTAGACCCAGCAGTGAATCTACCATGAAAAAATTAGTCCTGTAACTTAACCACATGATTACCTTCGTGTGATATACTCTCTTTAAATGTAAATCTTTTAGTTGAGATTTGTTGTACCTTTGTCCTGATCCGTCTTCTCTCAGTGAAAAGTAATGAACCATCTTCTGTTAGAGACAGATACAGGCGTGTTTCTATTAAAAAAACCCCGTACTTCTAGAGGTAAGGGGTACAAAACGCCTTCTGTGGGAGGTAGGCATCCAGTATGACACTGATATGAAGCACCATTTATTAGATAATGGTACTAAAACATCTTCTATCAGAGGAAGGTACCGATAATGGTACTGGGGCATCTTCTATCTGAGAAAGGTACCGATAATGGTACTGAGGTATCTTCTATCAGAGAAAGGAACCGATAATGGTACTGGGGTATCTTCTATCAGAGAAAGGAACCGATAATGGTACTGGAGCATCTTCTATCTGAGAAAGGTACCGATAATGGTACTGAGGTATCTTCTATCAGAGAAAGGTACCGATAATGGTACTGGGGTATCTTCTATCAGAGAAAGGTACCGAGAATGGTACTGGAACATCTTCTATCAGAGAAAGGAACCGATAATGGTACTGGGGTATCTTCTATCAGAGAAAGGAACCGATAATGGTACTGAGGTATCTTCTATCAGAGAAAGGTACCGATAATGGTACTGGGGTATCTTCTATCAGAGAAAGGAACCGAGAATGGTACTGGAACATCTTCTATCAGTGAAAGGTACCGATAATGGTACTGGAACATCTTCTATCAGTGAAATGTACCGATAATGGTACTGGAACATCTTCCGTCAGAGACAGGTACTGATAATGGTACTGGAACATCTTCTATCAGTGAAAAGTACCGATAATGGTACTGGAACATCTTCTATCAGTGAAAGGTACCGATAATGGTACTGGAACATCTTCTATCAGTGAAAGGTACTGATAATGGTACTGGAACATCTTCTATCAGTGAAAGATACTGATAATGGTACTGGAACATCTTCTATCAGTGAAAGGTACTGAGAATGGTACTGGGGCATCTTCTATCAAAGAAAGGTGGCGAGACGAATGGTACTGGGACATCTTCTATCAGAGAAAGGTACCCAGAATGGCACTGGGACATCTTCTATCAGTGAAAGGGAGGTATTGAATCTCATATGAAAGAAAGGGGTACTGTACGACTTTCAGTAAAATGCAAAGGTCTTCGAAAAGGGTATATTGAATAGTATATACTGATCTGTCTTTTGTGAAATGAATCATCTTGTATTTCAGCACTTCGCCGTTTCCTTTTTGTGAAACGTACTGGGTCATCTGCTATCATAGAAAAGTTTTTAAATGTCTTATATGGAAGATATGAACGCAGCTGTCTTCCTGGATTCTTACGGATAAAGGCAATAAATCGTCTTTTATCAGAGAAATGTACCGAATCGTCGTCTTCTATTCACAGAACAATAATAAACCCTTTTGCATCATCTTTGGACATCTTTATATCTTCTCTGGCAATTACGGAGCCACTGTGGCTGAGTGGGTCGCTAGTCTGGAGGTCACGTGTTCGATCCCTGCATTGGCCGAGGAAGTTGATCGGGATTTTCCGGCGTGGTTTCCACTTGTTAGAGGCGCAGGACGGAGAGCCTGACAAGGACAGTTGTCTAGTCGTTCGGATGATATGAAAAACCGTGGTCCCGTGTACACATTGGAGTGCACGTAAAAGATCCCTCTGCAGTTGGAATTCGATATAAGAGTAGGCCATAGTGCCTCTGCGCGCGAAAATTTTTCCCTCATAGCACACTGTATGGCGTAGGCCCGTCTTCATTAGCCCAGTCGGGACAGAACAGTAGGACGTTAAACCCCATTTCATTTCATTTCTCTGTCAATTAGTAGCTGATAGTACTATATTTGGATGTGCAGTTATCCTACAGTGTCTAGGGCGTTGGATGGTCGAATGGTTAGCACGCGCGCGCTGTATCATAAGGTCTGTCATTGAGTCAACTGGCGTGGTTTCCATTCCCCGGTTGTACGTGACAAGGAGTAGGACCGCCTGTCCAACCTCGTGGATTTTCTCCATCTTCCTCCGGTTTCCTCCCACCGCTAAAAACCCCTACGTACAAGCGAATTGTTGAAATAAAAATAAACCATGTGTTAGTCCCGAAATGACCTAGTTTGTGTCGAGTGGACGTGAAACCCATTTCTCCTCCCCCCCTCTCTCTCTCCAGTGTCTTAAGTTACCAACACAATCTTCCAAGTCATTGTTTTCTTTTAGACTCAGCCGGGCTCGACCAACCGACAATACGACTGATTGAATAGATTGTACTGAACCATACCTAATCAATCAGTCGTTCTGTTTGAATCATGTCTGTTAAAGAAATGTATTACTGTAGCTACTTACACCAAAACCACACATCAGCGCAATATCCTTGACAACTGCAATGTGTATATTGGCATTTTGTTTCATATAAAGTGAAAGAAATGCGGGCTTTAATGGCAGGGGAAATGAAGTACAATTCTTTTGTCACTTAAGCTTATTGTTTATTCAACAGAATTCAGGGATGTCTGCACTTAAGACAATCTGTAAGAGTAAGTAGGCTGTATTAGTTTAGACCGTCGCCTCTACAATAAGTTCGTTGGGATGTTCTACAGAAAAAATGATCTATTCCATATTAAATTGATCAACAACTCAAATTCAAATAGAAGTAGCCACTGCCATGGCTTCTGGTTATTCCTGTTACCATTGGCCTATTGATACACTTCCGCCTTCATCAGCCCGGAATATGCATAGATCGAGGACTTTAACCCCCATTGCTAGGCTGACTTTCCAAGTAAGATGAAAAACAGTAAGCATACCCTACCCGGTAATGATTAGTGCACCACAACCGTAACTGGTACCCCCCCCCCCACCTCGGGATAAAGGCCACCAGCAGAGTCACTAGCGAAATTGAAATTCTAGATATCCGACTAGATTATGTAGGTGCATTCACTATTGAGCATATTAGCTCATTTCTATCGTCATGGCTTGGACTTGGATTGCAGAGTTCGAAGGCAATTGGTAAACGGCAACCCCCGGGATAAAGACCACCAGCAGAGTTACTAGCGATCCCACCCTATGATGTAGGTGCATTCATTATTGAGCATATTAGCTCTGCCATTTCTATCGTCATGTTAATTGATATGACCATTTTCCGCGGTTCTAATAATTTAATCCCGGTCAAATAAACAGAACAAGGTATAACTCGCCATTTTCTTTGTTTTCTTTCGTGTAAACAAGAAATTCTATTCTTATTTATTGACAGCTTTGTCATTCATTGTATCAATGTCACATTTAATGAGCAAATAGCGTGCTAAGAGGAAATAATAAATAAAAACTGTATTGTCAGACTTCCATGACAAAAGACAGAGAGAGCCCCAGACAAAATGGCCGTCAAATATTCTTTTCAGCAGACGAGTCAAGACTTTTCGTGTTTTTATTGCAAAACATGCAACAGTTATCGGAAGGAGAAATTTGCTTTAACATTTAATGCAATTGATTGTATATAAATGAAGTAGTGGTTCACGATCGTAAACTAGCCATTACCGCGCTATTGATCTGTAGTTGGTTCCAGAGAGCGTGGTAGCGTAGCAACGTTTGCTAGACTATTGTAGGCCGTATTGAACAAAGATTAGCGGTTGGTTGTTGATGTGGAAGTCTATTGAGGGAATAGATAGATAGATAAACACATAGGGTGACCAGATACACGTCCGTCTAGAGAATACCGAAAATATAAAAGACAAAATGTCGGTAATGCTAACAGCGTGTAAGGATGCTGTGAATGGCAAACGAGCGTTAGAACGTGCACTGAAGAAACGTATGGAAAGGAAGTAAGTCATTTTGATGAAATACTCTTAATTTTAAATGGACGATTTGAATAGATTTACGCTGACAATAGAGAAAATCTCCACGCATCACACTAACACGATAGACAAAGATGGCGTATTAAAGATTTACCTGGGCCTATATTATGAACTTGATTTAGGTCTAGCTCACCTTGCCTTGTTAACAGCTTCATCAATAGAATTGATATTGAGACTGATTGACTGTCTGGTTGTTATTCTTATCAGAAAGTATTTGAATGATTGTCAATGAAAGACGATTGAGTTTAAATGTTTCTGTTATGACCATATTCAAAATGGCGAATCCGGTATGTTTCCATCGAAGGCCTATTTGTTTTAGTTTTAATGGCGACCCAGTGGTAAATTAGAGGATGGGATAGGAGATAGCTTAAATCAAGGCCTATTCCTTTTAGTTTTAATGAGGGCCCAGTGATAAATTAGAGGATGGGTAGGGGGTAGCTTGAATCAAGGCCTACTGGTTTTAGTTTTAATAAGGATCCAGTGGTAAATTAAAGGATGGGATAGGTGGTAGCTTGAATCAAGAATCTAAAGTAATTTTAAATTTGTTAGGAAGTATGTCTAAGACTATGATATCAAATGACGCTTTCAGTCTTTTACTTCTTCCTACTGTATCAACCAAAGTCTTCGTCTAGTATGTACCACATTTACATCCACACAGCAGCTTCATGGGCTCGACGACAGCAACTCGTCACAATCTAGGAGTTATTGTCTAACAAATGTTGTTTTATTATTGTATTTTGGACTGATACCAAAATAGTATCACTTACAAGAACACTACACAACACAGACGAGAGTGACACTTGAACATGTATACCTATTGAGCAGTTGCCATACAGTCTCCTAACAAACTGGAGTCTTTTAATTTTAGCGACTTCTTTAATGAAAATATAAAAATTGTTACGAACTTTGACTTCATCCGTCTGCAATCAAAGAAGGGGTAGATGTATCAGTGAATGGAAGACCCCCGCCACACCCATCCACCTACACCACATGGCTGACAGTCAGTACCCTCCCTCTTTCCTCAGCAGGGGGGTCGAATGGTTAGCGCGTACGCGCTGTATCATAAGGTCTATCAATGAGCCAATTGGCGTGGTTTCGATTCCCTGGTTGTACGTGACAAGGAGTAGGGTCGCCTGTCCAACCTTATGGATTTTCTCCAGGTCTTCTGAGGGTTTCGAGCTCCAGTGGTAATGTACAAAGACAAATACACCTCATAGGTCAATTTGGAACTAATTAAAAGTGATTGATTCACAAACGACAAAAAAATGTTGAAAAAAAAACCATGTAGAATGAACTTGGCAGCCACAAACTACTTCGTATTTCAACGAACATAATTGATTAGAAATTACAATACGGCTCGCTATTATAAAATGATTTTGAATTTAGTTTTCTCTGATAAAAAACATTCAATATTGCCACCTTTTTCCTAAGTCCAGTGTTGTCATCTTATAGACAACGTTTAGTACAGTTCTCCTAATGGAAGAACTACAGTGTTGTCATCTTTTAGAAGATGTTTAGTACTGTTCTCCTAATGGGAGAAGTCCAGTGTTGTCATCTTATAGTCGACGTTTACTACAGTTCTCCTAATGGAAGAACTCCATTGTTGTCATCTTTTAGAAGATGTTTAGTATTGTTCTCCTAGTGGGAGAAGTTAAGTGTTATCATCTTTTAGAAGATGTTTAGTACAGTTCTCCTAATGGGAGAAGTCCAGTGTTGTCATCTTATAGACGACGTTTAGTGCTGTTCTCCTAATGGAAGAGGTCCAGTGATGTCATCTTATAGACGACGTTTAGTACTGATCTCCTAATGGAAGAACTCCATTGTTGTCATCTTTTAGAAGATGTTATCATTCTACATAAGATGTTCAGTACTGTTCTCTGTTATACTACGTTTAGTACTTTTCATTGTTGTCATCTAATAGAAGATGTTATCCTTTTACATAAGATGTTCAGCTCTGTTCTCTAATGGAAGACATTTAGTGATGTCACCATGTGGAAGATGTTCAGTTTTGCGCTCTTACAGAAGATGTTCAGTACTATTCTCTGTAACAAGATGTTTGTTGGCGTTCTCTAATGTAGTACTATCGGACGTCCTTCCTTAATGTGTTTGTTTTCTTCGTGATTGTAATATATAACACTACAGGTTAAATGGTTCCTATTGTTAAGCTGGAATGGCATCGAAGGTCCATCGTTCCCAACAAAGAATAGCTGCTCGGAAGACCTGGGTGAGCTCTGACCAGTCTCGCTCATCACCCTCCTTTATAACCCCCTTATTTCCGCACGTATTAGATTTCCATCCGAAATATGGAATAAACCTCTCCATTTCTCAAGACCGTGTGTGTGTGTGGGGGGGGGGGGGGTGAACATTACCTTATTTGGTCTACCAACCATACGTTAATAAACAGACAGAATTTGATGGGTATTGTGACAATGGCTATGATTTTACCAAAATATCACTGTTTTTTTATATATGAATATATCATTCACGTTCATAAAGTACGTGTGATTTGACTCTATAGAAAGAGTGAAGCAACAATTTTTCAAAGACCCAATAATGTCTTAAGGACGAAAGTGCTACACTAAAGGAAGACGTGGGGTTGGATGGCCGAGTGGTTAGCTCGTGCGCGTTGCATCAGAAGATCTGTCATTTAGTCAACTGGTTTCGATTCCCCGGTTGTACGTGACAAGGAGTAGAGTCGCCTGCCCAACCTTGTGGGTTTTCTCTGGGTCCTACAGTTACGTCCCACTGCTAAAGACCTCTACGCCCAAGCGAATTATTGAAATAAAATTGAACCATATGTTAGTCCCGAAATGACCTAGTTTGTGTCGAGTGGACGTTAAACCCTATTTATTTTTCTCTCCCCTCTCTCTTTAATGGAAGACGTTCAGTGCTGTCACCATATGGAAGATATCATCATTGATCTCCGTTGTTTAGTACTGTTATCCAATGGATTGTAATCGTGCAGGTGGTCTTGCAGATGGTCTTCAGTGCTGACCTAGCTCTTATAGATGATTTTACAGTCTTACGGAAGATGTTCAGTATTATTCTCTGCTACAAGTTGTTTAGTACTGTTCGTAAAATTCTCAGGTACCCGAGATGAAAAAATAACTAAATATTTACTAAAAATCATCAGTGCGGTTTTGATGGTCTAGAACCAAAGCCCATTACAATAATATTCCCATCGCTCAACACCGTGTACAGGTTAGCAGTATTAATTTCTTAATGATCCTCTACAATTTAAAGTTTCATTTGCTTATATGAAGCCACTTGTATCATCTGGTACCCTGTGAACTCGGGAACAATGATCATCCGGTAGACAGACAATCTCTCTCTATACAGACTCCTATACAATAATTTACATCGTGTCGTCGTCAATGTTTAAATTGATTTTTGTTCAAATAAACTTTAGCATTTAAAATCTCTTCAATATAACTAAAAGATTTTTTTATGCCAAGTATGACATTTCCTTATCAAAATACAAACGTTCTTTCTCAAGTAGGCTTCAGTGTCTTTATAGAGGTTGGTTTTACAAGAATGTCTTGTACTGGTGTACCTACATGTACATCATGGCTGTTGAAGTAGACCTATTTTTCTTTCTAGGTTTGTTATTGCTTTGGGTCATTGTAAAGTTTTGCATCCTTGTCGAATTGACATTTTCGCGGGGTGTCTATTTCCGGAACACCTGATATCACCTGACCGTGACGTCATATGTGAGCGGTTTATTGAAGCTAGCACCTCGATTCAGTTTGACATTTCAGATTGTCAGTGCTGTATTCGTTCACTGTTGTTATCCCGTATCGAACGCAGTTACGAGAGGGATATTGAAATGGGGCCCCGTCCGTTCGTCCGCCCGTCTTTCCGTTCTTATTTTAATTTCATACATCTCTCATAATGGGCTAATAAAGACGGAAAATCCGTTCAAGATATCTTTATGAACCGTATTGCAGTAGTTGAAATAAAATTTAGATTAGTTGTCTCGTGATGTTGATGACCGAGTTGTTGAGTTTTGTTAATTACTATAAGCAGTAAACCGAATGAGCCATTTCACGAATAACATTTTTCGTTAAGTTTATTTACTACGACCGTGTTGGCTTGACATTCGTTAGATGTCAATTTTCTAATGGTGTAAAGAGAATGACACAGTAAGCATTTAAAGCATTCTTTAAACATACATTATGCAAGAGCTACATCTGCCTATTGAAGGTCTTTCTTTAGGCCTGAAATGTTATCTAAATTTTTAATTAGACATTTATTAACATGACAAGACCATAATCAACTCTCGATGACATATTCTGTGTTAGATTTTCACTGGATTTGAATCCGATCTGCTGCTCAACACTCATTGACGATTAAATCCAAAAATGAATAATCAAGACTATGATTTTTTTTTATCGTACCGACTTTAGTAATCATGATCAAGGCTAGGCCTAAAATTCAAATGCTAATATCTCGGCTCAGAGTGAGCAATGTAACTGAAATTTTCACAAATTGCCTTTACATTGTTTATTTTTAAAGGGACAATAACACTCTTGCTGGCTTGAAAGCTCCAGAAAATAAATAATATCTCTATCTAAGTACTAGATGTGTCAGTGTCCTACCTGTTGCGTAAATTATCCATTACATCCTATTTTACTTGTCCAGAGGGTTCGAAAATATTTTTAAATCGAAGTTTCATTTGAAAAGGTTTACGTTAGACGTTTCAAACCATTATGTTGAATTTTTCAAAATTTTTAAATAAGGTGTGTTAAGATGAAAATTGTATCATCAATTAATTGAAATATTCTAAAATAGTACAATTTGTTGACCAGAATAAAGATTGGGACATATTATTCAGTTACAACAAGAGTGGTATTGAGCCTTTAACTATTATAGTGAGAACTACTAGCTCTTTATCTAATCTTCCATAATGTATCTTTAAATATTACAATCAGTATGATCAATATACTATGATTCATCAATAAACTTTA